CCGGGGGGGGCGGCTTGTTTTACAACGTCGTTGCCAAGCGACGAAAACCCAATCCGTAGGTTGCGTAAGATATCACACCTCCTGCACCGATTTTCAAAGCTCGGTCACTACAAGACGGAGAGGATGCCGAAATTGAAGTTCTGTATTCGTTTTCGGAAAGCTCTCGACGAGATGGTTCCAACGCCGCCATTTTCGACGCCGTCACCGCTTTTCCTTCCGAAGATATCGAGCTTGGAAAACTGGTCCAGGGGGTGTCATCACCCTACTTTTTTTACTCCAAGGATTCATTCCGTCGCACTACTTGAAAATAGAGCAGGCGGATTTTTTTCCTCGATTTTTTTTTCTTGCGCACCCTGCACACCCCTTTGTGTGAGACTGAATACGACAGCCTTGGGCTGCCCCCGACCGCCTAGACGCTTGACCAACGGAACATGTACTCGCTCACTCGAGCAATGGTCGTGATCGGATGAGTGTGGTGAAGAATTCTAGACATTCGGTATCTTGAGCAGCGCACGATTACGTACACAGAGCGTCCATCAACGGTAAGTTCTACTGTGTAGCCGCTGTACAGTACACACACCTTGTGGCGCGTGTACAAGGCACACACATCTATTATGGCGTGTGTTCACGGCAGATCAGTGTGGAGCTTTGGTCAAGCACGTGTCACATGTGTTATTAGGGTTTGGACGCTAGGTCTCGCGTTGGTCAGTTCGCGAGTGTGGGGTTTGGTCAATCCGTGAAAACATGCGTTACAGCAGCGTGTGCACACCAGCACCGAAGCACAGGAGCACAGGATTGGTGGCACAGATAACTGATGTGTCTCCGCAATGTATGCATCAGCCAACACCCTCAGCACGGCCTGATATATATGGGCTCTTGCAGGATGTCACCACACAATCCCAGGATGTCGTTAAGCCGGCCATGCAACGGGTACGGAAGGGCGTCAAGCCGTGAAGAAGCACAGACATCGCTTGCTTGTCTCGTCCCCTGCTACGCGTCAACCACAGTACGACACCGACCACGGTCGTCACGCGATACGCCCTCCCTCGCCTTTCCGTTCTAACGCGAAATGCCCAACAGCTGCAGTTGCATGCATGAAGTTGCTTCAACGAACGCCATGCCCAACATTTACGCACGTCTACTCTCAGCCAGTGTGCTGTACGCAAGGCGCTTGCTCAGCGGACACGCGCAGAAATTTTCACGAATTTTCTTCACACGGAACCAACGGAACCGCAAAAACGGTGCTGTGACCATTATGTAGTGTAGACTAATTGTCTAACCGCCGTACGAACGAGTAGGAAAGATATTGCTACTCGATGCCAAGCCACACATTCTTCAAATCAAACTCTGACAGTTAGAGAACTGTACATTGGTTGCCGCGTATCACCATTACTTTCACCCCCACTCACCAAGGCGTCAGCGTCAAGCGAACCCAGTTTCCGAAAAGGCTGTTGTTCGGTATGACTGTTCTCTCACCCGCGCAGGAACTTCTCATCGGCTTTCCGACTTCTTCGCCGTCTTCATTTCCATCTCCCTTTACACCGTCGTCGATTAATCTCGCTTGCGCTTCGGGCCCCCGCGCCCACTGGGCGCGGCGGGTCCAGTACCCTAGTATCTTGTGCAACGTACGATATGCATAGCGGGGTCGGTGGTACGCAGACCAGTGGTGGCACGAGACGATGTCGTGTTTGGGCGGTACGTCATTCGCCTGGTCGACGTGAAAGCAGAGGCAAAGGGACGCCCCACCGGTCATACTCTTGCCGGGTGCATGTCTCCCCAGCAGCAAACCACGCGTCGACCGCTCCATTCAAAGCCACTTGCTTCCTATGTGTCTGACCCCCCCCGGACTGTTACGTGCCCCTTCCTTCCTCTCGGGCTCTTTGCTCAGAGCACATCGCTATCGCAGGAAGATTTGACAGCCGCGGAGGCAAGGGCGCATGTCCTGACCCCCTCGGAAGAAGTACCCGGAGACTTTCTCACTCTGGACGGCTGGTCCGTGTCCCTCGTGGGCAATGAGGTGGGTAATGCGCTCTCCTCTCCTCGTGGCGTGCTCCCGAGTGCACGGGGCTCAATGCTGTTGTCCGTGGCTCGGTGTTGGTGTTGTCTGTGGCCGCGCTGGTGCGGGTAATCTGTTGCTTGCTAGAGCAAGCTGGACTCCACACAAACGCCGGTTGTCCAGAGCTTCTTCCTTCTGGCCTCCCGCCTTCTCAACACTCTGCAAACGCGTACGTTCCACCACTCATCTCGCCCTTAGCTTGGAATGGAAAGAATCGGTCAATTTTTCCCCAGCAGGTGGTGACTGGGGCTGGGTTTCCAGAATGGAGGCGTGTGCGACTGCTGCTGTCAGAGGACCTCGGCCAGCACCTCGCTGCGGCGGGGAAAGAACTGCTCTGTCCGCCCACGGCAGCTCCCCGAGAAGCAGCTGAAGCCTCAGCGGAGGCGGCAGCCGAGGTGGTTGCGGGGGTTGGTAGAACGCGCGATTCCACGACGGGGGCTCTGGGTAAGGAGGGGGTCGGGGGTGCAGGGGTTGGTAATGGCGGCGGCGAGACGGAAGAAGCAGATGCTAGAAGGAAGGCGAACTCCAACGCCAAGGTGGGAAAATTGGCGGGATTGCCGCCTGTTTGTCTTGTCTTCTTGCTGGCTGGTCTGTCGTGTGATTGGCTGTTTTCCTCGCTTGTGCGTCTTTTATACTTTTGGCTAACTGAAAGGAGGGGGGAGTGCGGTGTTTCTCACCGCTCCGTGCGTCGGTCTGGCTTGTGTTGATTACCGCGTGGAACGAAAGCCGGCTTGGGTCCTCCTGCTCTTTTCTAGGGCGGGGGCGGGGTGGTGAGAAGCTGGGCAATATGAGGGGAGCGAGAGGAAGAAGGGCCCTGGGATATGGACGGTGAAGCACCGAAATAGAATACCACAAACTCTTTGCAGGCTTGTCGGTCACTGTCGACTTTCGTCTTACGGTGGGCAAGTGGTATCGAACACGATGGCTTGGCGCCACATCGCGAAAACACCGCGCATGGTTTACTCCAACGCGCCTCTTTCGCATGCCACAGGTGGTGAAAATGGTCGAAACGCACGCCGCTGGTGAGAAGGAAGAGCGGGGCGACGCAAGCGGCAAGGCCAAGACTGCCACCACCGTGAGAGGGGGGGAGTCGAGAAAAAGAGAGCGAAAGGTCAGGGTGATGCATGTCTCGAGGCCGCTGATGGGAGGGCTGTCTTGGGCGCCCGAGAACACCGGGGAGCTGGACATGATCACCGTGGACAAGTACACGGCCGTCCTCAAGTCTTACCCTGGTGAGAAAGGCAGCACCGCTGGAACGGCACTGGTCGTTGCTGATGGTTCAAGGATGAGGAGAGTTTCCTGTGTTTTTTGACGCTCGCAGAACCGAACGACGCCGTGGCGTGGCCTCTTTCGCGGTTGCTCCTCCGTCGGTCTCTTTGTATCCTCCTCTCCCTTCCTCTCTACTTCTCAATGTGTCCACCTCCCCTTCTGGCCCAACATCACGCGATGCATTCCTTCCTTCTCGTGCGTGCTTCCGGCCTCATCGGCGCCCTCCCCCCCCCCCCCCCCCCCCCCCCCCCCCCCCCCCCCCCCCC